TCTTTCAGCAATAGCATTTCTTCTATCAGAAATCGTTACACTTAATTGCTCGTACAATGTTTATTGCCTGAGCCAAATATGCTGCCTAATCTTTACAGTTCATGAAGTGTTTCTTATCCTGAGATTTTTTACATTGATATATGGTGAAATATTTAGAATTCTTTGATCGCTTCGTTTTGTTAATGATTCTGAAGATTTTGAACAGGTTAAAAATGATTGAAGTCTTTGAATTTCTCAGTTTTCGATTGATCCTTTGCAGCCACGGAGTGCCCCGAAATTATCCGAGTCGTGAAATTTTCCTAGTTTTGTGGTGATCATTTGCAATGCTAAATGACTGGAATCATTGACAGATTTGAATTTCTTAGCTTGCTGGCTATGTTTGACGTTTTGAATGGATAGAGTGCATTAATATGTTAGATTTCTTAATCATACAAATAACCTTCTGACAATCTGCGAAATCAGAAAATCTTTCGAATTTTTTGATTTCTCAGGTACCCATATATTCTTAATTATGTTTAAGTACTATGAATCATTTGCATTATTGAAACTTCTTGTTCTTATGCCGAGGAATTGTTGGATTTCTTGATTTCTTGTTTATTGTTGATATTCGCAAATCGTTGGGTATCCTTGTTGTCCGTAGTTTCTCGCTTTTCCTAGGATAATCTTAACATGCTGCGAATTGATACTTGATTCTGATTTCTTAGTTTTCTTACTGTCTACTCATACTGCTAAGTGAGTAAGATAAGTTGAACTTATGGAATTTCAGAGTTTCTTGACTATCCTTGACAGCTATGAATCGCTGCAAAGCTTTCAAAATTCAATGGTTTCTCACTTTTGCATTGCGAAAGTTCTGATTTCTCAAAACCCTTGATTTTCAGAAGAGCCTTGGTACTAGTTAATGAACTGCAATGTTCTAACTATAGAATTCCTTTCTTTCCTAGAAAGGATGAAAATAAGATGATATCATAAAATTCTCAAACTTGGCACTATCGGATCATTTCATTTCAGACGAGAACTTGGTGCGGGTGGGTTTTAGATCTACGACTGTAGCTGTGGATGCGAATATCCGCAATGTTCTTGACTACTATCAGAGGTCCCTTCTTGCTTCTTTCTTTTAGTTCGGTTTTATTTCGAATTAACAGTTATCACTGACTCAAGAGAGAGAAGAGAGAGCACTATATAAGAGAGAATAAAGCATCAAGGAATGCGAGCTGAATAAACAAATATCAATGAGTCAAGGAATATAACATGTGACTATAACAGCTACTATCACACCTGTACATAAGCACATACACCTGACAAACTACTATGCATTTGAATCCATATCGAATTTTTGTGCTCGATGATTTCTCCAATCGACGACATAGAGATTCCCGTGTCGATCGAATGACAAACCGAAGGGCCAATTGAGTTGATTCGATTGTTCTCCACTACCGTTTCCACCAACAATGACACTTCCTTGTGTGGCTCCTTTAGGCCAACGCATGATTCGATTATTCCATCCATCAGCCACATAGACAGTGCCCAATTGATCGACAACGACTCCTTCAGGATATGACAATTGTGTAAGATCATTTCCTTGTCCTTGACCACCAGCCACGACAATGCCTTGTTTTGCACCTTCCATCCATTTCATCACACGATGATTGTTCCAATCAGATACGTACACTGAATGATCTCGATCGACGAATACGTATGTTGGGTAAGAGAGTTGATCGAGACGATTTCCACTCCCATTGCCACCTGCAACCACTGTTCCTTGAGATTCTCCTCTTCGATATCGTCTCACTTCATCTTTTCCAACATCAGTGACATAGAGAGATCCATTCTCGTCCATTGTCAAACCCCAACAATCGATATTGGAGATGATTTTTTCTCCACTTGTCCCATTTCGACGAGGCCATTGAACCACTCTTTCATTTGAACGATCGCATATGATGAGACTATCTCTCTCTTTGTCGATAATCACATCTCTTGGGTTATCCAATTGATGATCTCCACTTCCTTGTCCATTTCCACCGGCAACCACTTGGCCACTTGTTGCACCTCGTTTCCATTCCACAATACGGTGATTCGAGGTATCAGCAACATAGATTGTTTGATCATCATCAACATACAAACCACATGGGTTTGAGAGTTGATTGATTCCATTGCCTTGTCGATTTCCTCCAGCTACAGTGATACCATTCTGTTGCGATCGAGTATTTGGATAAATGTCAATTGAACTCCCACGTGAAGGATGGACTGAAATAGAGAGAAAGAGACTATAGAGAGAAAAAACCGGAAATTTCATTTGAATTTTCATCAAGTCAACATCATTTCAAGTTTCGGTTCATTCCTGAATTTCTCTTTATAGTAATATGATGGGCAGGAAAAGTATGTTTTTGGTAAAGTCTCAACTTTATACGAAACGATAGTTTCATTTCTAGAAATCTTCTTTGATTTAAGGTTATT